CTTTCATTAGGTCTTAAGGGGACTTGCCTCGCAAGGGCAACCGTACCGTAACTCGACGGGGACAACCGTACCGATGGCCGTAACAGCTCACACCGGTAGGATACATGGTTCACATGCATACATTGATCATACCATAAACACTTAAACAACACGTATGGCATAGAAAATTTTATAAGTAAACCCACCTGGAATAGCACGGGAGATATTACACAAATAGGAGTAGGCGGCAAGCTCGGCTCGTTAAGCACCTACAACAAGTCAAGATACCACACTCAATATCTTATCTTGACCTTAGAAGGAGCACAAACAAATCATACTTAGTCGAACTTGATTCAACTAAGTCATTCATGGAGTTCTGTGGACTTTGGAACACTTGGACTCGACTCGAAACCAAATATGGCAAACACACCAGTTTAAGTTGGTCAGACAATCGAATGAGTTAGGTTCTGAAATTTTAACATAAAATCCACCTCACTGGACTTAGCAAAACCACCAAATTCCAGCTCTTAACTCAAAACACACGATTTTATAAAATTCAACCAAGTTTTTAGCAAATACGAGCACAATTTCAAAGCTGAACCATATGAGCGAGTTAACACTTGACATTTTAACACAAGTAGCTAGAGCATGTGAATACCAACGTATAAAAATTCCAGCTTTAAACACTTATCACACGAATTATAAAAATTGTAGCAAAATTCTGCAATTTTCAAGATTCTACCAAATCCGAACCAAGATCAACTCCAAAAATCATGAGCATTTTTCCACATTCATAACATCATAAAATAGGCACTAAACCAATATTTAGCAATTTACAGCAACATGTCAATTTTACATAATTAAAACGAGTTCCAGCAGAAACACAAAAATAATTAATTACCCTAGCAAACCAAGTCCAACAATTATGAAACTTTTACACAACATACAAATATGACATAGGAACAACATATTCAAAAATCAGCCATTTTGGAGCACAACTCGATTTTATGTGCAAATTATACGATTCTGACCAAAAATTAAAATAGCTACAGTTGGAATTAAATCATAAAATTTTTACACGACCTATATGAACATCACAGGACATCACATATAAAATTTTACAGCATTTGGACAAGTACACAATTTATCACAAATTTAACAAAATTCAGCAGCTAATCAAACTTCAAAAATCCACACAAGACTCGAAACAACAAATTTTCGTCCAAGGCCTTTTCGATAAGGCCAAAGACTCATCCATGTTCCAAAATTCACAGCCCTACACGTTTTTTAAAGGATTTCAAATGATCCCTCTTAAATTGATAAGAATCACTTAACATATAAATAGATATAAATCCTATTCATGTATATTTCACCAAAGTATCAAAAGAATACATATACACTCATAAAAATCGAGAGTATTAGCAACTCGGGTACCATTCTCGGGAAAAGTACGTAATACAAGAAAAGGAAAGGGCCGAACTGGGCTGAAACGGTTGTACGTGCGCTTCGACAGGACTTGACGGCTTCGTTTGGCACTCCGACGGAACTCGATGGGACTCGACGGCTACGTTTGGCACTCCGACAGGACTCGACGGGACTCGACGGCTACGTTTGGCACTCCGACAGGACACGGTGAATGGGGCTGCTCGCGGCGGTCTGCTGGTTCGTGAACGGAACGCCGGAAGACGATCACAGAGGGTCGCAGAGACGAGACGACGGGATGGGGTTGCTCGTAGCCTGACTGCGAGTAACCGACGGTGGCTCACGATCAGAGGTTGAGACTTGCTGAGGAAATGTGACCATAACAATGGTGGAGGGTAGCATTATCGAGCTCGCAACGGCAGGGGCAGCGACGAGGAAGCATATGGTGATCGAGGTCTGCCGGTGGTGATGTTCACGATAGGGAAGCGCGACCACGATGGCGGTGACGGCGCTGCGGGACTCACGACGGCGAGATACGGTCACATCAATGGCAATGGTTGAAGAGGATGGGACCCGCTGTTGTACTCGGTCTTTCCTCACTGACAGAGCACGGCTGAAAAGGGCTGATACCGACGGGAAAAGTGCTGACGATGGCCGCTGCTTGCTGCAACTCGGCAAACAATGGCGTGAGGCATGCTTGCTCGCCGGAAACGACATCTGATGTAATTCTTTTGCTGCTAGATCGAAATTTGTTGCTCGTCTCGCGTGGTGGTCTATGGCGAGGAAGAAAGGGTGAGACGGTGATGCTTGAGATCGTTGGGTTAGGGGGAATTGATCGACTATTGAGGTGTGAGGATTTTTCCTGCGCACAAAAAGAGATTTCGGCTCCTGAGGGTTTAGCGGTGAGAAAATAATCGATGAGAGACGATCGATCTGTGTTTAGAGAAAAGAGAAAATATTTGGGAGGAAATTCAGAGAGTTGGGCCGATATTAATTCAATTCGGGCTGAAACCTCTATTGCAATTGGGCCGAAATTAAAAGCTTAAATGGCCGAAAGTAAAAGCTCGACGACCACAATATAAAGAAAGGCCGATGGGCACACGAGCCGTTTTTCTCTGAGGTTCGACAATTCTAAAAGGCTCAGATCAATCGCGACGATAAAATAAATTAAACTGGATAACATATTTATAAATATATATATTAGACACAATAATTATTTTATAATAATAATCATTTAAACAACTAGTGACAATTAGATATTTAATAATAATAATAATAAGCAAATATTAATTCCACAAATAATAACAAGAATAATAATATTGATAACAATAAATAATACTCGAAAAATCTATAATCAAATGGGGCATTACACGAGATGGACAAGATAATCGAGCAGGAGGTCGAAAAGTTAATGAAGGCAGGCCACATTAAAGAGACCCAATTCTCGGAGTAGCTATGGAACAAAGTGATGGTGTCGAATTCAGAGGGAAAATAGAGGATGTGCATTGATTTCCGAGATCTAAACAAAGCATGCTCGAAAGATCTATATCCACTGCCAAGGATCGACCAGCTTGTAGATTCCATGGCAGGATACGAATTGCTCAGTTTCATGGATGCGTCCCAGGGCTATCATGAAATTCCCTTAGCTCGAGAAGATAGAAAGAGAGTGAGTCTTATAACGAGCAAAGGGACGTATTGTTATTTGGTGATGCCATTTGGCCTTAAAAATGCGGGGGCTACATACTAAAGGCTTGTTGATAAGATTTTCAAAGACTAACTGGGGCAGAACATAGAGGTCTACGTTGATGACATGTTGGTGAAGAGCCGAGAGAAGATCAATCATGTGGGCGATTTGAGGGAGACCTTCATGACGTTGAGGAAGTATGGTATGAAATTGAACCCTGCTAAGTGCTCATTTGGGGTCAAATCTGGAAAATTCTTGGAGTACATGGTAACAAAAAGGAGAATTGAGGTAAACCCAGAGAAGGTGCGCGCAGTGGTCGAGATGCAACCCCCCACGAAGGTGAACGAAGTGCAAATCTTGACTGGTCGAATAGTGGGGTTGAGCATGTTCATTTCAAAAGTGGCAGAGAAGAGTAGTCCCTTGTTCAAAACGTTGAAGAAAAGCTCGAAATTCCAGTGGATGGCCGAAGCTCAAAAAGCTTTCGAGGAGTTGCAGGAGGTTCTCGCTAACTTACTTTTGTTAGCCAAACCTGTCCAAGGGCAAGACTCTGGGCTCTATATATCTATTGGTGAGAACATTGTGAGACGGTGCTGTTGCGCGAGGAGGGGACAACTCAATTCCCGATATACTATGTCAGTCAAGTTATGCAGGGAGCGAAGTTGAGGTTTCAGAAATTGAGAAGTGCACGTTGGCGGTGGTAGTGATGGTCAAAAAGCTGAGGCCCTACTTTCTTAATCATAGGGTGAAGGTGCGGATGAACATGCCCCTGGAGCAAACGCTTGGTCGACCCTCGGTGTCGGATCGACTGATGAAGTGGGCGGTCGAGCTGAGTGAGTACTCAATGACATATGAGCCGAGAAGGGAAATTAAGGCACAAGTTTTGGCCGAATTCATTCAAGAGGGCACCATGTCCGAGGAGAAATTAGAAGGAGTATGGCAACTATTTGTAGACGGGTCCGTGTCGAGAAATGGTGCTCGGCTGGGCATTGTTATAGTATCACCCAAAAGAGATTATCTGGAGTTCGCTGCAAAAATGGGATTTAGGGTGTCGAACATTGAGGTGGAGTATGAGGCAGTGGTTATGGGTTTGCAGTTGGCTATAGCTGGGGGTGCTCGAAAGATACAGGTCCATTCAGATTCCTAGTTGGTAGTGGGACAGTTCCAGGAGGGTTTCGAGATGAAGGATGAGAGGTTACAACGTTATGTGGATATGACGAAAAGGTTGTAGGAAGAGTTTCAATCTTTCGAGCTAATGCAGATACCGCGATGGGAGAATGGCCGAGCAGATCTATTGTCCAAAATTACTCAAAGTTTGGTAGACTGTAAGAGCCAGAGTGTAAACCTACTCCATATGGAGAAGAGCGTGGTCGAGGCGAGGTTGCAGAAATCGAGGAAGTGGAAGATTGGAGGTCCTCAATCCTTTGAGAGTTGACGAGAAAGTGTGGTGAAGGTGTGGAGGAGATTCTTCGAACATGGAGGGGTCCCCTACAAACGGTCATATGTTGGGCCACATCTGAGGTGTGTGACTCGGGAGAAAGGTAGATATGTCCTGAGGAAGGTGCATGAAGGATGTTGTAGCGACTACAGTAAGGCGGGAGCGATGGTCGCCAAGATATTGAGGGCTGGATATTTTTGGCCGACAATGAAGGCTGATGATGGCAAGAAAATGCTTACAGTGCCAAAAGCATGGTCCACTTATCCACCAACCTGCGGAGATGATGACGAATGAGCGCCCCAATTCTATTCACCCAGTGGGGAGTCGACCTGGTAGGACCAATGCCGCAGGCAACCAGACAACGAAAATTCCTAATTGTGGCGGTTGATTATTTCACCAAATGGGTGGAGGCCGAGCCAATAGCCAAGATCACATGGGAGAAAGTGATACAGTTTTTATATAAAAATATATTTGCTGCAGGATCAGGTCCCAAAGGTTCTCATATCCGACAATGGAACACAATTCAACGGCAAGCAGATCCGGGCATGGTGTGAAGACATGAAGATCGAACAACACTTTGTCTCTGTCTCTCATCCGCACGCTAATGGACAAGTTGAGGTGACCAACAGGATCATCTTGAACGGGCTCAAAATGAGACTGGAGAAGGCCTCGGGGACGCGGGTCGATGAACTAACATCAGTACTGTGGGCATATAAGACCACCCCGAGGTCGACAGGGGAGACGCCTTTTAGCCTGGTTTATGGAATGGAAGCACTCCTGCCGATTGAAGTGGAGCTGCAATCCAAATGGTCGAGCACTTATGAGCAAGGACAGAATGAAGAGCTGATGATGGCGGCACTAGACACAATTGAGGAGCTTAGGGAACAAACCTCGACCAGGGTTGAGACATATAAACAAAGGATGCGAGCATCACATGATCGGAAGGTGAAAGTCCGCCGATTCGAGGTGGGCGATTTTGTGTGGAAGAGGATTGATGTGCTCAAACACGGTGGCAAACTGGAGACCAACTGGGAGGAACCATATCTGGTCGAGAAGGTTCATGCCGGAGGAGCATATTCCTTGAATGATGTAGAGGGAAGATCGTTGGCCAGGTCATAAAATGTTGCCAATCTCAAGAAATATTATGTTTGAATTTTTTCTTTTGTGATTGAGCCATTAAATTGATGTAATTCCGAATTCTTATTCTTCTAAAGATTACCAAAGTTGCTCATTTTCATGATAATGGCATTCTCATATGGTCTTATTGGATTCATTTTATAGTTTGCATGTGTACCCTATATGGTTCGCTTAAAAATATCGATGTGGTTTATTAAGAGATATGGATAATGTTTGCTTGGAAATGTTAAAACGACTTCGTCGACTTCTTGTATGGATTCATTGGTCTGCTCATATGATATGCATAAATTGCTTATGTTGTCTCTTGGAATTTTCTGTATGGTGTGCATGGAGTCGTGGACACGATCTGGATGATGAAATTGCTCGAGGAAACAAGAAAAAAGCCCCTCATTTTCGGAACATCCCGCGATAGGGGTGAGGGAGTGGTCGCTTGCTTTCGGAACATTCCTTGGGGTGGGCAGGTGGTCGAAAAAGTCCAAGCCTCTAGGCTGGACGACCACAATGTTCTCGGAACATCATCTGGGGTGGGCATGTGTCAGGACAAAAGTCTCTCGTTTTCCGGAACATCTCTGATCCCGCGATAGGGGTGGGTGAGTGGTCGCTTGCTTTTGGAACATTCCTTGGGGTGGGCATGTGGTTGAAAAAGTCCACGCCTCCGAGCTGGACTACCACCATGTTTTCGGAACATCCCTGGGGTGGGCAAGTGTAAAAAAACTCCCTCATTTTCGGAACATCGCTGATCCCGCGATAGGGGTGGGCGAGTGATCGCTTGCTTTCGGAACATCCCCTAGGGTGGAAAAGTGTCAATACAAAAGTCCCTCGTTTTTGGAACATCCCTGATCCCGCGATAGGGGTGGGCGAGTGGTCGCTTGCGGTCGGAACATCCCCTGGGTTGGGCGAGTGTCAAGATAAAAGTCCCTCGTTTTCGGAACATCCCGCAATAGGGGTGGGCGAGTGGTCGCTTGCTTTCGGAACATTCCTTGGGGTGCGCATGTAACGCCCCGTTTGAATAAGAATTATTTTGTAGTTTTATCTTGATTTATTATTATTATTATTATTATTATTATTATTATTATTATTATTATTATTATTATTATTATTATTATTATTATTATTATTATTATTATTATGTATTTATTTGTGTAATTGCCTAAATAGTATGTTTATTTATAATGTGTCTAATGGTGTATTATTATATTAACACAATAATAAAATGTGAATTATAAATATAAGTATATATTTTATTCGGATAGTATTTTCATTTATCGCGCGATTAAATCGAGCCCGAGAACCCGCGAGCGTCTAACGGACCGAGAACTGGCCCCAGCCAAGCCCGATTTTTCTCCTTCTGTGTGTGTGTGTGTGTACGTGTGTTTTTCCTAAGGTTGTGGACCAAGCAATTATTCATTAACCTAATAGCATGTATAAATAGGATTTGTCCAAACCCTCAGCAACTTAAACATACACACGCAGCTTTTCTTTTTTTTTTTCTCTGCTACCATCATCTCGTAATAGAGAGGAGAGGTGAAGAGATTTTCACTTTCTCTCATTTTCTTTTTTCTTCTTCCCGCACATCACCTGATCGTCCATCGTCATCATCTCTCCATCTGCAGCAATCGTCACCACCATCAACCACCAGCATCATCATCATCCTTTGCTCACCATCATCACGCGATCACCACCGTCCTCGGCAAGATCGTGAACCAGTTCAGCGCCCCTTCTCCTCCACACAGCAGCAGTTCCGGCGGTCCCGTCCAGCCCTGTTCCGACGAGTTCCAGCCCTCCGTGAGTTGCTTCCTCTCCGTGACGACCGCTGCTGCACTTCTTCGAGTCTGCAACTTCTGGCAGCACCATCTTCTACCGCGAGCAGGTCTTTCGATCACCCCTCCAGCGAGACCAACCTCCGTCGGCGTCTGGCGACCTGTTGCACTCGATACTTGGTCGTGATCAGCCCCAGCAGCGAGCCGAAGCAAGCCGTCGAGCTGCTGTCCGTACTAGCCGTCATTCCCGTTCGTGCCCTACGTCCCATTTCTTCGAGCTTTTCCCGAGAACGGTACCGAGGCTCGAATTCTCTTTCGTTACTTACGTGTTTATTAGCTGGATTTATCATGTTCTATGAATATATATATGGCCTGTGAGTTGATGTGTTATTCGTGAGTTCATGTTATGCGTTTTGTGAACGAATGTATAAATTATGTTATTAATTGATTATGTATTGATCTTTTTGGTTCTTGCAAACTCGAACGAGATCAGGTATACTCGTGTTAAGTTGCTGTAGGATTTGGAACAACGTGTTCTTGGTCTTAAGTGAAGGCCTCGGAACAAATTCGAGTCTTGTTGAGTCGTGCTTTAATTAATTATCTCGTATGCTCGCTGTTTTGGCGTTCGAATTTTTAAAATTTGCATGCTGATCGGAATACAATGAAATTTTTAATGTATTACCTCTGTTGATATTATAGCTTGTGTAAAATTTTTGTAATTTTTCACGGACTTTAGCTATTTTTAAAAATAAAGGGATTTCTGGGCAGAAACGTGTTTAATTCATAATAAATCGGTCCGTGCTCTAAAATTTATGAAACTTTAATATGTTGTTCCCCTGCTTGATTTATGCCTTGTGTAATATTTTTAGAATTTTTTGACTGATATTGGTAGGGTAAATAATTTATTTACGTTTTCTGCTGATATATGTTTTAATTATGATAAATTGGTTAATGGCTGGAAAATTTTAATTTTTGGCTGAGATGCTTATCTTATGTGTACTTGCATGATGTAGAAATATTAGAATTTTTGGAGTTGGGATTGGTTCAATTTTAATTAAAATTCAATAAATTGCTGAATTTTGTATGAATTTTCATAATTTGTGTATTTGATGTTAATTGCTGGAATTTTTATATGCTGATCGTTAATTGCTGATCTTGCTCCAGTACAACTCTCATGTGCTAATTCGTTTGTTAGGTCAGGCTTTGAATTTTATGCTCGTTTTTGCTGATATCGTATTTGAATTTTATAAAATCATGTACTTTGAATTTGAGGCTGAAATTTGGTGGTTTTTCTAAGTAATAAGAGATGTATTTTTGGTTAAATTTTCAGAGTCCAACTCATAGGGAAGCTAGATCAACTTAATTGTGTGATTTGGCTAATAAATTAGAAATATGATAGTTCAGGGGTATTCGGTGGGAAGACAGGTAATTTTGAGCTAAAAGCTGTAAATTGACTCGCTTTTAGTTTCTTGTTTGTTTGACTTGGTCAATCGTTAGTCTGACTTATATGAACTCCCATGTATGTTTTGGTTGAGTGTAGTGTCGAGTCTAAGAGTTCCAACGTCCACAAGACTTCACGAATAACTTAGCCGAATCAAGTTCGACTAAGTCTGATTTTTGTTTCTCTGTCTAAGTCAAGATAGATATTGATTGTAGGAATCCTTACTTAATGTAGGTGCTTGAGGAGTTAAGCCTCAACCTACGTCCTTTCTGATTTTTGCTATCGTCAATCCAAAATCCAGGTGGGTTTACTTACTAAAAACTTTCTATGCCGTATATGTGTTTCATTTATGTCGGGTTGGTATGATCTAAGTATGTGTGTAAACCATGTAGCCTATTGACGTGAGCCGATTTGGCAGTCGGTACGGTTGTTCCCGTCGATGTAATACGGTTACCCTTGCGAGGTAAGTCTCCCTAAGACCTAATGAAAGGCCGTGTCCGTAGCATGTCACGTACCCCCACGAGTTAGGGTAATGAATCCCCTTTCCGTAGGCTAATGAAAGGTGTGTGCACATGGGTAGTAAGTTATGTTATGTTGTGAAATGAAGATGTGACAAGTAATTGATTTATATTTATACCGCGACCATACTTTCTTGACATTATTATTGTATACGTGCATAGTGGTGAGCACTACATTTCCATTTGTGCTCATCCCTACCTGCTCTTCATGGATGCATGTTAAGGCGGGACGGTGTGCATGACGACCGAGGGGCTAGTGGGTTGATCATGTGTTTAATTTATTTATGCTTCCGTTGAATAAATGTGGTCATCTTGAACCTCTTTATGATTTAGACATGTGGAAACAACTTTTCAAGACCTATGTTATGTTTTGATATTTTGGGATACTTTGGAAAACCTTTTCATTGTTTTTGGAATAATCATGATGTTTGGTTATGAGATTGGGTTATCCATGTTGAAAATTATGTTATGTGACATGTGTTGGGTTAATGAAAACCTTGTGAAAACCGGGTAATGAATCCTCGTGGGTCCAGTTAAGACTTGGACTAAGTAAATTGTTGTTTAACACCCATGTATTTCGAAAATGATTTCAAAAATTGTTACTTGATTTTTGGAAAGCCCGGGATTTCGTTAAAATCAAAGTGGGGTGTTACAATTTGGTATCAGAGCCTATCTGCGTTTTTGTAGACTGGTTTATATGTGAATTATATGTGATTATTACTTGACCTTGTGTTGACCACTCGTCTCCGTCATGCCACTCTGTCTTAAGGTATGTCCTACTTAAGTATTAATGAAAATGCTTAGTATGTGAATTATGAATTTGGACACATGTAGCAATAAAACTACTTGTGGTGTAATTGTTATTTTGGGGCTTAGGATCTATCCACCTTGTTTTATATTTGAAATCTAGTGTTTGGTGGCGAACTCTAGACTTCCATATTTATATTATTGTGCTAAACCTTTTCGACCTATTCAATGTAGAGCTATGAATACCCGCAATAACCACAACAGGAAGCCATCCCGTTCTCCTTCCCCGCTACCTCATCATCACCAGGCCCCTCCGGCGATGGACCTTACTCGGCTTATAGTCCAGTTCCAGAACATGAATGCGCCGACCTTCTCAGGACTGAGAACCCCACCGTGGTACTGGAATGGATTAAGGAGCTAGATAAAATCTTCGTTGTGCTCCCCCTCCCGGGCAGACAGTGTGTTTCTCTCGCCGCTTTTTAGATGAAGGCGGATGCTTCTGACTGGTGGATCGACCACTGGGCTTGGAAGCTAGAGGTTGAGCTTAACGCTCTCATCTGGGAGTAGATGAAGGTTATGGTTCGAGGCAAGTTCCTTCCTCAGAGTTTCTGGGGTCGCATAGAGCATGAGTTTTACCATCTGCAACAGGGTAACACCACCGTAGACGAGTACATTCGCACCTTTACCTGGATGTGTCTCTTTACTGGCGATTCTGTGAACACCGATGTGAAGAAGGCCCGCAAGTTTCTTAAGTGGCTGAATCAGAGATTCTGTGAGCTGGTAGGGATTCACGGAGTGATGTCCTATGCCGACACTATGCAGCGGGCACAGGAGGTGGAGAGTTATCTCATTCCTATAGCTCCAGTCCCCTCCTATTACCATACTTCTCAGCCTGCCCAGACTCCTATTCAGTATGCTCAGCCCATCTCATCTGTGCCGCCCGGCTCTAGCTTGGGCAAGAGGAAGTCCAATTTTCATAACAAAAAGATAGGAAAGAAGGGGAATTTCAGGAAGCGCAACAACCATCCCACCGGCATCCAGGCCTGCCCGAGATTCGCCAAATCCCATAGCGGCGAGTGCCTAGTGAACCAGTGCACATGTTTCAACTGCAACCGCCCAGGACACTATGCCAATGTTTGCCGTGAGCCGAAGAGACAATAGCAGCAGCAGCCGTCCTACCCTCAGCAGCAGCAGCTTCCTCCTCCGCCACCTCACCAGCAGCAGCTGCAGCCCCCACCATTCTAGCAGAGGGCTGAGGGTCAGGCCCGCGTCTATACCATTACCCACGATGAGGACGCCCGCAACACAGGTATTATGTCTGGAATGCTTTCTATCTCCAACGTGCCTGTCTTTGCATTGTGTGATACCGGTGCTACCCATTCCTTTATCTCTTCTCGTTGCTTGGAGGCCTTATCTATTACCACTGTGAGTTCTTGTGATCCACTCGAGGTTAGTCTAGCCTCGGGGAAAATTATTATCTCCGATTCATTGGTTCGTGATCTTCCTATTTCTATCGGCGGACGAGTCCTGATTGTTGATGCTTATGTGATTGAAATGTGAGACTTCGATGTGATCTTCGGCATGGACTGGCTCACTCGCTATCGAGCCGATATCTGGTGCCAGGAGCGCGAAGTCACCCTCTTTCCCGATTTCGATCAGCCTGTTGTGTTCTATGGGGTGAAGTCGAGGGCTGTGCCTCGCGTCATCTCTTCTATGAAAGCTGGGAAAAGCCTTTCCAAGGGTAGCTGTCAAGGCTATCTTGTTTCTATGGTGTCCGAGGATGATTTCGAGCGGACTCCAGAGCGCGTTTTCATTGTTTGTGAGTACCTTGACGTCTTTCCCGATGAGTTGCCTGGAGGACCGCCCGACCGCCAAGTTGAGTTCACCATTGACCTAGTTTCAGGAGTCGGTCCCGTGTCTAAGGCCCCTTACCGTATGGTGCCGAAGGAGCTTTAAGAGCTCAAGGCCCAGATTCAGTAGTTGCTCAGGCTCGGTTTTATTCGATCGAGTGTTCTGTCGTGGGGTGCGCCCATCCTATTTGTGAAGAAGAAAGACGGATCGGTACGTATGTGCATTGACTATCGGGAGTTGAATACCTTTACAGTCAAGAACAAGTATCTCCTTCCCCGTATTGAGGACCTTTTCGACCAGCTGAGAGGAGCCAACATCTTTTAGAAGATTGACTTGCGTTCTGGTTATCATCAGCTGAAGATCCGGGAGTCGAATATTTCTAAGGCTGCTTTTCGTACCCGTTATACCCACTATGAGTTCGTAGTTATGCGTTCGGACTCAGCAACGCCCAAGTCGTATTTATGGACCTTATGAACCGGGTATTTCATCCTTTCTTGGAGCAGTTCATCATTGTATTTATCGACGACATTCTGGTCTACTCCCGAGACATCGACCAACACAAGGAACATCTAAGGATTGTGCTGGAGACCCTTCGCCGCGAGAAACTGTATGCAAAATTCTCGAAGTGCGAGTTCTGGCTAGACCGTGTGGCATTCCTTGGCCACATTGTGACAGCCAATGGCATTGATGTGGATCCCAGCAAGATCGAGGCAGTGAGCAAGTGGGAGACACCAAGAAGTGCCGCTGACGTTCGTAGTTTTCTGGGGTTAGCAGGATACTACAGGAGGTTTATCGAGGGCTTTTCGAAGATAGCCCAGACGCTAACCAACCTTACGAAGAAGACCGCGAGGTTCGATTAGAGCCCTAAGTGTGAGGAGAGTTTTCAGGAGTTGAAGAGGAGACTCACTACCGCGCCTGTCTTATCCATTCCCGACCCTACTTTGGAGTTCACCATCTATAGTGATGCTTTGAAGATGGGGTTGGGTTGTATATGCAACAAGGGAGGGTCGTAGCCTTTGCTTCGAGGTAGCTGAAGCCTCACGAGCAAAACTACCCCACTCATGATCTCGAGTTAGCTGCAGTTGTCCACGCCATGAAGATATGGCGTCACTACCTCTATGGAGGCAAGTGTGAGATATTTACCGACCAAAAGAGCCTAAAGTACATTTTCACTCAGAAGGAGCTGAACATGCGACATAGTAGGTGGTTGGAGCTGGTCAAGGATTACGACTGCACCATTAGCTACCATCTTGGAAAAGCTAATGTGGTAGACGATGCTCTTAGTCAGAGGAGTTATAGCCAGCTGTCTTTCTTATCACCGAGCAAGATGCCTTCTTCGGGAGTTCGAAGGACTACAGCTAGAGGCAGTGGAGTCGACTTCAACAGCCAGGGGTATGTTGACCGCCTTGGTTGTGGGACCGACTCTTCGTGAGAAGATAGTCTCAGAGCAGCCGGATGACCATTTCCTATGCCGGATGATGGATTTTTCGGAAGCCGGTAAAGTTGTAGGATTTGCAGTCACATCTGATGGGGCCTTGGTCTTCGAGGGTAGACTCTGTGTTCCGAAGGTGTGGGAACTGAAAATGGAGATTTTGAGAGAGGCCCATAGTGCCCCGTACACCATCCATCCTGGTAGCACGAAGATGTATCAGGACTTGAGGAAGTCTTTCTGGTGGGGAGGCATGAAGAGGCAGGTAGCGAAGTTCGTGGATGGGTGCCTGGTGTGTCAGCAAGTGAAGGATGAGCACCAGAAACCGAGAGGGTTGTTGCAGCCCGTTGAGGTTCCCATGTGGAAGTGGGAGTGCATCACCAGGGATTTCTTGGTGGACTGTCGAGGTCGAGGGTCGGGCATGATTCGACTTGGGTGATAGTGGATCGCCTTACGAAGTCTGCCCATTTTCTGCCAGTCTGGACGACCATGAAGGCGAGTGATTACGCTTAATTATTCATCAAGGATATTGTAAAGCTTCATGGGGTGCGATCCTAAGTTCACATGCCAGTTCTGGAAGACGTTGCACTGAGCCATGGGGACGAGGTTGGAGTTCAATACAGCCTTTCACCCCGAGACAGATGGTCAGTCGGAGCATACGATCCAGTACTTGGAGGATATATTGAGGGTTATGGTCTTGGACCGGAGCCTGAATTGGGAGTATGCCCTTCTGCTAGTCGAGCTGGCCTACAACAACAGCTACCACTCTTCGATCAAGATGGCCCCATACGAGGCATTGCACGGACGTAAGGTCCGGAGTCCTTTGTATTGGGATGAGGTTAGAGAGAGGAGGATCATGGGTCTGGAGTTTGTCCAGAGTACTGCGGCGACAGTCGAGGAGATCCGAAAGACCATCAGGGCTGCCCAGGAAAGGCAGAAGGTCAATGCCAACCGGAAGAGGCAAGAGCATATGTATGCAGTTGGAGATCATGTCTTCTTGAAGGTTTCACCCATTAAAGGTCTGAATCACTTTGGGAAGAAGGGGAAACATAGACCTCTCTATATCGGGCTGTTTGAGATCCTAGCTCGAGTCGGGGACTTGACGTATCGGCTGGTTTTATCTCCGGACTTGTCGGGAGTGCACGATGTGTTTCATGTCTCGATTCTTTGGAGATATGTGCATGATCCTGATCATGTGGTGGACTTCAGCGAGCTGCGGGTCGAGCGAGACCTTACCTACAAGGAGGTACTGAAGCCATCTTGGACAAGAAGGTCCATCAGCTGAAGAATCAGGCAGTGAGTTTGGTGACGGTGCGGTGGAGCCGACACGATGAGTCTGAGGCGACTTGGGAGAGGGAGGAAGATATTAGGAGGCGTTATCCGAATTTTGAGGTTTGAGTTCTCCTTTGTATTTTATCGCTTTCTAGATTTTTATTTTTGAATTCCGAGGACGAAATTCTTTGTAAGGTGGGTAGACTGTAACGCCCCGTTTGAATAAGAATTATTTGGGTTTTATCTTGATTTATTATTATTGTTACTATTATTATTATTATTATTATTATTATTATTATTATTATTATTATTATTATTATTATTATTATTATTATTATTATTATTATTATTATTATTAGTAATATGTATTTATTTGTCTAATTGCCTAAATAGTATGTTTATTTATAATGTGTCTAATGGTGTATTATTATAACAATACAATAATAAAACGTGAATTATAAATATATGTATATATTTTATTCGGATAGTCTTTTGATTTATAGCGCGATTAAATCGAGCCCGAGAACCTGCGAGCGTCTAACGGACCGAGAACCGGCCCCAGCCAAGCCCGATTTTCTCTTTCTGTGCGTGTGTGTACGTGTGTTTTTCCTAAGCTTGTGGACAGAGCATATATTTATTAAACCTAATAGCATGTATAAATAGGATATGTCCAAACCCTCAACAACTTAACATACACACGCAGCTTTTCTTTTTTTTTTTTCTCTGCTACCATCATCGCGCAACAAAGACGAGAAGTGAAAAGATTTTCACTTTCTCTCGTTTTCTTTTTTCTTCTTCCCGCACACCACCCGATCATCCGTCGTCATCATCCCTCCATCCGCAGCAATCGTCACCACCATCAACCACCAGCATCATCATCGTCCTTGGCTCACCATCATCACGCGATCACCACTATCCTCGGCGAGATCGTGAACCAGTTCGGCGCCCCTTCTCCTCCACGCAGCAGCAGTTCCGGCAGTCCTGTCGATCCCTGTTCCGACGAGTTCTAGCCCTCCGTGAGTTGCTTCCCCTCCGCGACAACCGCTGCTGTACTTTGTCGAGTCTGCAACTTCCGGCAGCACCATCCTTGTAACACCCCGCCTTATCTAATTAGACTCATGAAAAACTGGGTAAAATTTTCGCAGTTGTTTTCGAAAGATGCTGGTACTGGTTTCAAAAAACATTTAAACTTAACTGACTTGCGGGATGCCACTTACTTACCGACCTGACTTATTACTCTTTCTTTTACTTATGCATGTAACCCAATTGACATATATAATCCAGCTGGGGAATATGGATAAGAGAAATTAAACATGCATGCATACTGGTTCTGAGTTGGCAGTACGTAAGTGTAAATAAAGTACAATACAGTATGAAATTATCTTATTACATGCCAACATAAACGTAAACATAATAAATGTCCAGCTGTCGTTGGACACCACCACATCACTGCTCGGCTCACGCTCCAGGCTGTACTCCATCACCTAAAAAGATAAATAGTGGGGGCGTGAGCACTAAATCACCATGCTCT